CCCTAATGCTACATATCCTAGATATTCGAGGTAAAACTTCGTACTTTTAGCCTATATATATATATAGAAGAACAGTTTACAAGAGTAATGAACAAGATCTCAAATATTTAATGTTTACTAAATTCGATCCTTGCATATAGAAGAGAATCCACTTAAATATAAAGAAAAATATTCAAAAATAGAAATTGTTTGCTTTCAGAAATAACTGAAAACATATTGAAGAGTTAATTTCGGAGTTATCTCACTTAAAATAAATAATGATTACTAATTCAACACTATAAGAAGTAAATGCTATACTACTTATTGTCTGAGATATAATCGTAATTTTCACATAACTGTTATATTTCATTGTTATTATTAGTAATAAGAATGAAGTACGTTTAATTAAAATACAATTGATACATCACAACTGATTGATCGCTGGGTGATGATCAATGTCATGTGTGTCAATTCCTCATTTAGTGGAGATCGAATGCTATCGACCATGTTGCAATGTAGCCACCAGTCTAGGTGACTCGACACTGCGTGCACTATATATTAAGATTAGATGGTGGTTGGAGGTAGTCTCAGTCCTATAGGAGGTCGGTCGCGGCCCGGATAGCTTAGTGCCAACGTCTCTGACTGCGAAGCTGGGTGGCACGGGATAAAATCTGTCAAGGAGCACCAGTTCCCTCAAGATTACAGGTACACCTTGCTGACGAGTGCCAAGTAGCACGAAACCCGGGTTCAGGGTTTCCTGTCGACTACCTCCAACCACCATCTAATCACAATTGATAGATGTATAAAATCTGTACTAAACAATTTTGACAGACAGAAATACCTAAACAAAAATACCAATTTAAAATCACATTTACCTTTATTTTTATTAATATTCAACAAATGATAGAATATGTGAAAAAAACACAAGGAAATTTGATGCAATCTGAATAGCATTTTCAGGTAACATATTTTTCACTAATTAGGAACAAATTTGATTGACAATGCTTATAGTTCATGAATACCCATACTACATAATGTATGCATACATTCATGAATATATATATATATATATGATTTTTGTAGGACTAACACTACAAATCTAAACGAAATATCTACCATAAAATCCAACTTAGTACAACATCTCATTGACAAAAGGTGTTGATTTCTTCCAAACTTAATTAATCCTCGTAATTAATGAAGATTAATATGCAAAAAACATGTTAAGAAATAATCTATCCTTTTAATAATAATTATCTATAAAAGTGTAGAAGTAAATTCATTAAAATAGATATAACTTTTATTCTCTTCTATGTTATACTACCTTAAATTACATAAGTCAATAATCACTTTCTTTTTTCTTTGGACTGAAACCAATTTTTTTTTCTTTTCTGTATATCAAATAAATTACACATTTTGGCAGATATTTTTCATGACAATTTCATTTCAATACAAAACACAATTTGATCATTGATATCCCAGAATGTTTCATTAGTAAACTGAATATCAAATTTACTTAAATATGAATTTAAAAGAAACAAACAAAATATCCACAGTTATAGCTTAATTTAAAGGATAGTATATGGGATCTATTAGAACAACAAATGAATTCCCATATTTATTTTACATGATTAAACACGCAATGATTAGTTTAATATTTCAGTGTTTTATATCATATAAATATGATAATTGATTTTAAAACATGTTTCTAAGGAAACTTATCGATTATATTTCAAGACATTCATGTTAACATACATGATATGATAATAAATCAATAACATTGAATAATGATGCTTATATGTTTAATCCTAATAAACAGATCAACTAATACAATGATAAACTGAAACTAATTATTTCAGTTATTATTGTTTATGTAAACCATAATGTGAATAGTATTTTCCAATTTCATGAAATAATTTCTGGTTATATTCAAGAAATGGTTTATTTTGAAATAATAGAATTTATATGTGTATTCTGTGGATATGTAGAAGAATAATTAAAACACTGTTTAGAGTGTAAACTTAAGAAGAAATGAAGTATTATATCAGAGAAAGAAATGTCTTCATACCTTTATGCGTAATATTGACCATGGATGAATTAGTTACACCCATTGTTAATTATACCAGTACAATATATATATATATATATATATATATATATATATATATATATATATATATATATATATATATATATATATATGAACAAATTGTACTAATCCTTTTCATAAAAATTGCATATTCTATTTACCAACTAAACCATATGACTTTATAACGAATTGAAATTGTTCTCAATACCTATTTGTTATTCTGATTATACAAAAGTATGATACTAAAACTTCTCCCTTCTATCTTCACTTGGAGGATATTGTTTTCTATAAGTTAACTTAACTATAATAAATTGAAAGATGTTGATTTAATATTTATAATATTAGAAAATTTAAATTGAATAATGAACAAATTGACAATAATGAATAATTAATCCATAAACTAATATTAATAAAACCGCTAATAAATGATTAATATAATTAATGAAAGAATTTAATAAGGAATATAATATCTAAATGAATGTTAGTTTCAAATGATTAATTAAAAACTTATTGATTAATAAGTTGTTCCTACTTGTTTAAAATGAATAATAAAGTTGTATATTTCATTCATTGACATATCTGAAAATGATTTTTTTTCTACTAGAGACCAATGAAAGTAACAATTAAACTAAAACAATGAAAATTCTGTAAATTTTAAGCAAAAACTAATATTTTACTAACTGAATCACTATCTTAACTAAGTCTGTTTACTACATGTATATATTGATGTATTGAGTCCTTTGAATTGAATCATTTGATTAAGAAGATTTCTTTACCTGTCTGAAACAACATCATCAGAATAAGTATACTATACCACCAGAAGCATCCATCAGAGTTTCGAATCTTAATTATCATTCCAAAATACTGAATATGTTATCGGTTAGTTTGATGAGACTTATAGCTATGACAGAAATCACTATGGGAGAAATTAATTGGACGAAATCATCATCGAGCTGTTAAGTGGTACCTGAGTTTATTCCAAGAACTATTATGGGTAAAGAATAGACATACAAAAGCTTACTGACTGCTTTATATTTTTATGCTTATTTTCTGTTTAAACTTGGTGAAATTGTTTTAGCCGGTATTATATAATGCAATTTTCTATTAAATCACTACTTGTCACTTACAGTTATTTGGTAATTGGATACTAAATAAAATCGATGTTTTTGCTGGTTTGTTTTGTAGGAAAAATGCGCAAATTAATATAAATGTACATGTTCTGAGGAATGTTTTTCTGTTGATAGCTTTATTGTATTCTTCAGTCTTATTTAAAATTCATCGGCTCCTAAAACATTCAAAAATACTGTGAAGCTATATCATTCACTTACACGATATTGATTCAAGATGTATCATATTATATTCACTAGTCAGTATCTATTCATAGATTTTATGAAAGATCACTTATTTAAATATTAACTATGAGCGTAAATATATTCGGCAGGGATTGACGTTATCTTTGAAAAAACTGTCCCACCTAAAGAAGCCAAATTTATGACTACTAAGATTAACAGCAACTATACTACTTATAAATTACTAATCAAGTATCTACTGGTCTCTGTTTAGTATTTGCATTAATTCAAGACGATTTTAATTCATCATCTAGTATCACCAGTACTGACTACGTCACTTTCAAACACAAATAAATTACATAAGCCATAACTTCTCATAAGAAATCCAATAATCTATCTTAAAGTTAGCCACTAATAAATACATTATTACTAATTAATTATGTAGGTTGTTGGAAATTAATTTATTGCCAAGTTAGTCTTTGGTATAGATTAATAAAATAAGTTACTGAAAATTCACTTGTATCTTCCGATTTTTAGTTAAGACTGCTATTGATCAGTTTCATTGTGGCATATGTGCATACTGTGCGAATTACCTCGAAATTGCCTTAATTCATAAGTATTATGAGCAAAGATGGATAGTGGCTAGCAGTGGAATCTAGGGTGCGCGTTTATTCCTATTTGGGACTTGTCAACTGGATGCACCTGCATTTCAGTGTTGATATTCACTTTAGGACTCGAACCCAATACCGTTCGCCTTAAACGCCATCGTATTATCCACTTACCTACTGAGTCGTGATAGCCATTTGCTTTTGTAATGGGGTGAAGTTTAAATTCATTTAGTATTGTTTACTTGTATCTTCCCATTGTTATTTAGGACTGCAATTGATTATTGAAAATTTAACAAAAGTATAAAATTGAAATTCGCTGAATAATCTAATCATTTATTTACTATTTTTTATGCATAACAAATTAACAGCAAGAGATTAGTAAAAATGATTTACACAAACTTTTTTCACATTAATCTTTAAATATTACTGACAATGAAACTACTGAAATTCATGCACATAAATCAATATTGATTCAATATTTTTGTATATTATTTCAATAGATTTATAACAATATTTCCTTCTTCCTCATTCTCTTTTCTTTTTGGCTTCCCTTCCAAAATTAAATAGTACAATATTCTTAGAATTATTCGACTGTGAATGATTAATTATATCATTTATTCACATGGTGACTATATTTCTTTTTTTTTCAAAACAAAAAAAACAAAAAAACTTAATGATAAATGACAAAACAAACTCATTTCCATCTAATGAATTTATGTCTACAAATCAGTTAATGGTTATGATATACCATTCATCAAATTGATCATTTCCTAAGTCAATGTAAATATAAAATTCTATATTCTTAGTAGTTGTTATTCAAGATCATTTGATCAGAATAGTACTTTTTATCATGATATCAAAGTGTAAATGTTCTTTTTGTTCCATTTTTTTATTTTTTTTGTTTTTTGGGAGGGAAGGGGTTTCGAATTGTCTCAGATTTTACTGTCAGGATAAATGAAAATTTAATGTGAATTTTTAGTTTTTTTTCCAAAAAATGGAAGTTACTAATTTATTTATTTTAATTTTTTTTTTCTTTTTAGATTTGGTTGTCAATTATTTATTAACTTGGATAAAATACATAAATCAAAAATCATATTTAAACAAACAAAAAGAAAAGATGAATTCAATTCCAACTCGTGATAAAGTAAGTTCATGTTCATTGAAATATATTTCTTGAACAAAAGATTTATATTAAGGAATAAAATTTACGAGAGGAAATAAAAAGAGAAGAAAATTACATCTCATTGTTACATTATGAGTATAAAAGTTTTTCGCCCTAATGTATTCTATTCATTCATTAATCTTTATTACAAACTCAAATCATCATCGAATTGGAAAAAATTCCTGGAATGCTATAAAATAAACAAGTTAAAACAAACATTTCTAATTATGTCTTGGTGTAATTATCTGAAAAACTGTTGAATAACATGAAATAGTTCTTTAACGTATGGTTTCTAAAAAATTTCAAGAGGTATAGTATAACTAAATTATTAAGTTACTCATATAAATTAAATAAAAGTGAATAATATTGTTCTCTAACTTTATTCCGAAACGACCTCACTTCAGGAAATTACAGATCAAGTAATGATAAACATCGATAAATAATGTAACCATGTGAAAGTTATTGTGAATCTTTTTTTCTCGAATTTAATCATGGAATTATATACAACAACTGTGAATTTAACCTTCAAGGGGTAATAAATATTACGTCATAGCCTCATCAACAACAACAACAAAATAAAGGCAAAATAAATACACAAAATGATGTAAAATGAATTCCTATAGTAAAATAAAATATAGGATATATTTTTCATGATTTCCGTTTTTCTCTTCAACTGAGTATTACTAATCATTTATAACAGTGAAATCAAGTATTATGTAGTATTATAGGAAATTTTTGAGTGGAACTAATAAAAAATTTAAAACATTTTTCACATAAATGCAGATTCTGATAGAATTTACGACGTTGATGGATCTATTCTTCAAGAATAACTAGCATAAAGTTAATATGACCAAGTATTTATAGTGTTCCTTGATAACGTTTTCGATACTACATGAAACGAACACTGTATGAAATACCACAGTCAAACACACATTTTTTTTAATTTGAGCGCAAAAATATTGGTACAAAGGAGCACTGAATACATGTACGGCACACAAACAACTTGATTTTTGTGTGGGCTGTGATACTGACCGGGTTTCCAAACCGAAGCAGACAGTTTTCTTAGGAGACCACATTCAGAGCCTCTGACTTAAATGTCTGATCCACAAAGTAGTGAAGCAACGTAAGGAGATGCAGCTCCAATGTAACCGGTGACCAACATTAGGTTCATACGTCATTTGTTCACTCAGAATACTGAAGCCCACGTTCACCAATGGTTTGGAATCAGGGTTTTCCAACTCCCCTATGTGGATCTTCCGTATTTACCAACCCAGTTAAGGCGCCGAACATTCGCTTTTTGTCCTCTAAATTTTATAGAAAAACAACACCCCCCGCCACGAAAAGCAGTGAACTGAACTTCTCTAACAGCGGCTGTATATGCGTGGTCAAACATACTACATAATACTAAATGTAATTATGTGAAACTAAAAAGTAAGAATTAGAATTTTCTCTTCTAAATACATAAAATCAATTTACTTCTCGAATATCATTTATTACTTCTAAAATTGTTACATAACAAAATCAAAGTATTGTGCATATGTTCTACTTTTAAATATTCTATAAAATACATTCGTTAATCTCTATAAGAACTAAAATAAAATTTTATTTCATCTTGTTACTCATTCGTTTCAACGTTATTCTCATCCCTTTAGTGTTTTAAAATTAATTAGTTTATCGTTAATTATATAGTTAAAATATGAATTTCTTTTTGTTTTCTCTAAAGAAATGTTTCAATATATGTCATGTTTTATGAAAAAATAAAAATCTAAAAGCAACAAAAAAACAAGAATGTCTTGTAAATGAAAAGTTAATTAGTCGATTGTTTCTAATGGACTATATCCGTGGATTTTGTTAACAAATCAGAAAAGAATTATAAATTAATTAGTTTAAATAAAAGAAGAATAAAAAGTTGTGAATTCTTATTCCCACTCTCTCCCGCCCCCCCTTCACAAAAAAGAGAAACGACAAACAAAATCCTGATTTTTTTGTTGTTGTGTACAAAAACACTAATTACCTGATAACTGTTACAGTACTATATATGAATTATTAAAATATTCACTTAAAACATTCGTTTCAGTAGATGACTGATGATCAGTTAACATGTATGTAAGAATTGAATTTATGAGTCAATTGAGATTAGACTATTATTGAAAACCTGGAAGTAGTGGACCGTTGTTTCGTGCTAGTATGGGACTCCTCAACAATGCGCATCCACGATCCCGTCCAGTACTTCCAGCTTTTCCATGGTAGTCTAGCTTAAAATGACTCATGAATTCAACTATTAAATTACTATAATATCTACAAAACTCCTAACGTTTATTTATTACACTGATATTAGTTGATGTTATACATAAATATAACAGCTTTTTAATTGGAAATCGTAATCAGTACAAGATTTACTACTGTAAATTCAATCATTAATTTTTCTTCTAATCTTTCTGATTACAGTTTATTGATATTTGAACTAGTGGATCTGAATCTTGTCATTTAAAGTAATAGAGAAGAAACATTTTACTTGGAAACAAACTACACTTATAACTGTGGAATTTAGTTGACAACCTTGTATGAATTCATTAAATATGTTATTAGTTAGTAAAATGACTGTGATATTTTTGCACAAATCTATTGGATACTTATACAATACAAACTCGGCAACAATTAACCTGATGTTTCAGAAAATTTCTAAGCTTCATTATACACCATTTTAGCTAAAAACAAAAAAAGAAAACATTGTAGACGTACCGAAATAATTAAATAGACTTGTTTTAAATAATTGATTGTGGATGTACATTTATTGAATACACTAAGAAAGTTATAGAGACTATGTGAGGCTTATGACTGAAGAATTACTTCTCAACTAAATCAATCGTGTACTAGATTGATTTGAACAAGTATTTAGTTAATACTTAGATAAAATGATCGAGTTTTAAGGTTATTCCTTCAATAAGTCAACCTTTTTAAAGTACTTGACAGACTCAAACATTCCTGCCTTATCAACACGAGTCAAGAAAATAGTACTAATTCACTATTCATCGATTGGTTTATGTTTCAGTTGAGCAGTAGTTAATTCAAAATTCAAATGAGCTATACTCTTTATTGAAATGCAAAAGGTGGTAGTATTGTCTCATAAAACTCACTTTCAGGATACTGAAATTCCTAATTTGCATAAACTACTTGTCTTATGCGATGTTCTAAGAGATGCTCCTCTTTGCTGACGGTGTAAATCTATTGTGGAATATTGTAACTAATGACTATAAGATAAGTTTTTGCTATGATCGGAATAGACTTTAAAATCTAACAGAACAATAGCATAATATTAAACTCTGGAAAGTGTAAAACATCTACCGTCTTTACGGGGGTAGCATCACGTATAGTTTGACTAACTTCCAGAAGTAATCATGGCTAGTAGAAGAGTCAAGTCCTTTAATTTTCATAATCTTAAATCTTTATCATATATAACAGGAGTGCGTAAGATAATGGTCTTAAGCTTTAAATCCTAAAACGTACTCTTGTTTAACTCTATATCAACAGCCTTCGTCTTATTTGTATGACCTTATGTAGTACGAAATGGGTTTTTTCGCGTAATTTCACAAGGAAAAAAGCATTTCGAAGACTGTTCTAAGATATAACAAAATTAGCTTATGATTTTGAATTTATGCTTTAGAATGTATAAGTTAACGATTTCATATTGACATAAAAAGTCATCCACACCGCTGGGTATTGAAGCTTAGTCTCAAAAACATAGTCAAGAATAGTTGAACTATTACTTGGGTCTTAACAATGATACTCCTTTGGAATAATAAAGTCTTGGAATTCCCTATGATGTAGTCTAAGTAACTTCGCTGGAGCTCTTCGACCAAAACTAATTGATCAATACTTTATTAAGCACTTTCTGTCCTTCTTTATATACCTGAATCTCTATCTGCAAACGAAATCAGTACATATTGCTTGTTTAACGAAAGCATGTGTTGCTTCATTTACAATCATTTGTAATAATCATTTAGAGCATTTAATTCACCGTGTACTGCTGAAATTCCTAGCATAAAAGACGACCTTAAGGTTTGCTAAATATGTATTTTCATTCAAATAAGAAAAACTGTTTGATGAATAAAAATAAGTTTTGCTTCCGATTCTTGCCATAGATAGATGTTCTTACATTAAAATCTGATACAGTCGTTGTCATAAGTGACAATAAATAATGATACAGTGCTTGGAATCAAGTATTGAAAAGTTACCAAAGTAAAGTGATTTTTACAACTTTTGATAACGTCATTTCATTAGCTACAGAAATTAATTACTACCTATGAGAATCACCTTTCTCATATTCAAATGTCTCAGTAGGAAGACTTTTACTGTCACAGATTATGTAGCAAAACTTATTCACAAAAACTTCTTTGCTCAGCACATTTTCAAGGAAAAAATAAGGTACCCAGTTACTATAGTTTTGATAGAAGTTATATGGACATAATTCCTCGGAATTCCTATAATTGCCTCAAATTATATTCATCTTGTTTTTTTCTTAGTAACGTGAATGATGGTGTACAACTGTGCTAAAATTTACACACTTTTGTATTTACGATGACGAAAGTATTGACGTGTCCATTATTCAACTACGAATTCCTAGATTTTATTCAGTGTAAAGTTAAGTTAACATATCCTCCCAAAACTATTCTCGATGTTCTACATCGTCCTACTCACTGGCTTCTTGTGGTATTTATGTGTTCAAATATATAAATAATAAATAAAAATTCCCTAGGGTTCCCTGGAGGCTTTCAGTTAGTGAATACAACTATCTTTAAAATGATAACCATTTTGTCTCCCTTTTTACTTCTAAAATGTCTTAGCATCTACTTTAACTCTAACATGAATCAATTTCAAACTTTATTCACTAAATCCAGTTTCATGTGACTCTTTGCTATACTGAAATTGTATTTGTCATAATCAACAATTGTGAACTTAAGAAATCTCTTTCCAATGAAATA